GTGGGCACAACCTGATGTCTGACAAATGTCTGAGAAAACAAAATGTATTTTGCATGAACCGTCATAAAAATCGAACTTGAATCGGGTGCCGCATTGTTTGGATACGCAAGTTTAAAAACTGATAATTTGCCATTAATTATTCAAAACGGATAGCAAATGAATATCGACAACCCTTCAAGGCCGACCATCAGACTGTTCGGCTTTCAGCTGTCAGTGCCTCGTGGACTTGCCTCAACCACTGGAGACATACCCGCCAGTGAGACACGATTCATTCTAATGCAATGTCTATTGTCAGACAAAAGAAATTCTGCTAGTATGAAATAAGAGATTCACCGACCACTTCTGGCACGGCCACATGATCGACCCCTGTTGCTTTTTCCTCGCAAAACGATGCAGGATTAGTCATTGCCTGTAGAAATTTTCAGCTCTATTTTTGATACGTCCCAATCATTATATCTAGGTGGAAATTTTTTAATTTCGGCCTGACACAATAAATGCATCTCTTGGGCCTTTGTATTCAATTAAAATCTTTGCCTTTGTAATGTCTTTAATATAAAACTGCTTGCTAGCTTACACATCTATCCAGTAAGACTTCACTATTCACGGAACCACTGACAGCTATCTGCAGTTTTCCTTATCCACGGCTCGCCCAATAAGGAAAAAATATTGTTCAAAAGTTTATTAACCTAAAACTATTTGTCAAGTACATTTCAAAGAAAATGCATGTGCGTGTGTATGTGTATATATATATATATATATATATATCATCCACAGACAATGTTTCGCAGTATCACAGTTCAGTGCGGATAGACATCTGATGGCCTCTAGCTAGGATCGAAACTCGACTGAACTGGCCTCAGTCGGGGGATACTACCACTAAGCCATTGGGGCACGGCAGGGATGAAAGTGAATATACCCGACTGTTTCATGCTAAACCTAATCATTACGAGTGAAACAGCGCTGTTATAGTCAATTTAAAAATTAACTGTTAACAATATGTAAGGGAGGTAACTTAATTTATATATTTTTTTTAAACAAATTTCCATTTTATATGTAACATTCTACTTTGAGTGGCTCACGAACCTGGTATTTGGCGAATATTCTGACAAGCTGCATCCATATACTTTGTTTTAAAAACTGGAAGAAACTCTATAAGTGTTTGAAACGCAAAGCGGCTATTGTCCTATAGATAGGCCATCTTATTGGTGTGAATATTATATAGTTGGATGTTTTCTGGACATGTCTTGTAATAGTTAACATCATTTTTTTTAAAAATATTTTCATCCAAGCGAGGCAATAAAGTCACTACGATACAAAGGCTTACAATTGAGAGAATGTGAGAAAAATCATTATTAAGGAGAGAGAACGCGAGTGGGACCTTCAACGTGGTGTAATGACTAGCAAGCTTGTCCTCCTAGATTAATTGCAGCTGAATAGTGAGTTCGATCCTCGCTGGGGGCTCCATACATTCTTCCGTATGTCCCATCTAAGCCACGCATAGAAAAACAGCCAGTAAAAAAAAACAGATAGAGGTATTAAAATTGCATCTGAAATTTTGATGGTCAAAGTTGACTGGAAACGAAGAGACCGGAAGAGAGATTTATTTAATTGGAAATTTCATAAGATTATGTAAACACTTAATGAAAAAAAAATCTGAGAGCCATTCATGGTAGAGCGTCACAGTTAAAATGATTATGATGTATGAGGTGCATTATAAGTGATTGACTGATTCGTTTTCTTCTTTGGATGTTGAAGATATATTATTTAACTTTTAATCAAAAATTCTCAAAATGTGTGTATGTATGTGTGTGATTGGATGTTGTTTATGCATTTCCACAGTTTTCATCCGATTTTGATGAATTTTTTTTTGTTTGATAGATAATTCTTCAATGACGGTTTCTAGTCCAAATTGTTGGCGACAATGGCTCTCCACTACTTCCTGTCCATTATAACTCTCAGCAGCGTTTTACTATTTTACTATCTGTTCTTGGATATATATCTTTCATAAAAACTTTAATAAAAATAAATAGTTTAAATTATTGCAATAATATTATTTATTATTATACAGTTCCCTTTTCAGGGCCATCCACTATTTAAATTGTTAACCCCCGATTTGGGGATGTGCTTCAGTTGCACCAAATTGATTTTCGGGTGCGCTGTCTTTAAACTTAAACTGTTCTAAATGAACGGCAAAAATCCCCAGTAATGAAAGACCCGGGCAAAGACGGGTTATACTGCTAGTTTGTATACAATTTGTTCTTTTTTTTAATTCCCTTTCATTTTTTTATTTTCATATTTTTTCCCGACTTTTAATGAAAATGACAACAACGCATGAAATATAAAAAGGCCTCCGCCGGTCATCATTGACCATGGATTTGATCCCACCTATCTGCTCCTCTGGAGCATTGCCCCCTGTGACCCAACAGGCCGATGCGCGAATGGCATATTCTCTGCCACACAAGTCACACCTGTGAATTGTCTGTTTACTGTCTATGCTGCAGCGTTTTTTCTGCTGGTCCGTTTGTTTTCTCCTGCCTTCAGTTTCTCCTCTCCTGACCGTAGTTATTTCATCGGTGTGCTTCTCCACATAGAACGGTCAGCAGGAAGGTCCTCCTAGTGGTCACTGTTGATCTCAAGGACCTTCATGTTCCTCTTACAAACACCTCTGTGGCGCAATTGATGGCAAGTTCCTTGTCGAGGATGACTTTGGAAATTCGTCCATCACCCATACGACGAACATGATCCAGCCATCGGTGTCTGCGCTCTCTGAGCAGAGGGAAAATGATTGTCAGGCCAGCGCAACACAGAACTTCAGTGTTAGGCACTTTGGCCTTTCACGATATGTGAAAAGTGCTCAGTCTCTTCTCCTGCTTGACATATGTTGTCCATGTCTGCCTTCGTATCCTGGTTAATACAAACCAAATCGAAAACTAGGTCTAACGAATTTACAGCACAAAGTATGAAAAATTACAAAAAAGAAAAAAACAGAAAATCAAACAAAACAAAATAGCCGTCGTGTTAGTGTCTGTGTCTGACATAAGATTTCTATAAAATCATATTGATTTATCCCTTCTTGTTTTACGGCTTACAAGCAATTTAAAGCCGGATAATATTTTCAGATTGTAAGAATCTTTTATTTTTTTGAGATAATAATTTAGCTATACAAGGATTATTAATTAACCGATAGCTGGGAGAGAAGAGATGAATTTATAGGGATACACTGATCTGTTTTGGGATCTCATAAACTTCCGTATCAAACGGTCGCATGACAACCTCACCCCTGCATCTTGGACTCTCCTAGAGGCAGAGAAAATTTGGCAGTGACAAGGACCAGACACCATATTGAGAAGTCCCGCGTCAATATAAAAAGGTGAATTCACCCATTTAACTGGGGCATCATAACAACACTCTGCCGAGAGGTAAAGAAATCGGCACAAGAGTACAGACACCTTTTGTGAGTAATAATAACCTATTGTTTGTTGTGTCTTTTGTTTTATGTTGTAATACATGTGATAAGTGTGGTAAAAGTATTTGGCATCCTCTCTTTCTTGTTACTTAGTACCTCGTTATTTTCTCTAAGAGCTCCCCCAGATACGGTGCAGTTAAAAATATCTAACAACCCAACAACTGGTGACCCTGGCGTGATCTGCCGTTCGTCTGTGCGTACATAGCGAGTAAAAAAAGGCAGCATCACATTTATTATGTTAAACAAGATTTACAAAAGCTTAAAACAATATGGCATGGTAATAAACAGACTAAAGTGTAGTTTTGGACACTCTAATGTCATAATTCGGGCGCACCATATCTCAGCTTAGGCGGTTTTGACATCGGCAGATAAAGTTAAATTCATACAAGATTTCCTATTCCCCACTACTATTAGACACTTGCGTCAATTCCTAGGGCCAATTAATTTTTACCGTAGGTTTCTTCTTCACTGTACACAACTACTTTTGCCATTGACAAGCATGTTGACCAATGTAAAAAAACTGTCACATAAATTTTTCAGAACAGGCAATGTCAGCATTTAAAATGGTGAAAGCCGATTTGGCAGACAAATTGTCACACATAAAACCCAACCAGAAACTGTGTCTGGCAGTGGATGCATCTTCCATCGGAATTGGAGCGGTCCGACAACAAGAATGCAACTCGGAATGGAAACCCATTTCTCTTTTCTTCAGAAAACTATCAGGGAGAGAAATATGATACAATACCGTCGGTAGGAAATTGTTAGCCACGTTTTCGGCCGTGCGGCACTTTCGGCAACCCCTGGAAGATCAGCAGTTCCATATACTAACCGACCACAAACCTTTATGAGGCATCTTGCAGTCATCGTCGGACAAGTACTCTCCACGGGAAATTTATCAGATGGAGTGGATCCTAAAATTCACATCTGATATTCGACATATCAATGGTGAAGATAGCATCCTCGCAGACACCTTATCACGTGGAATTAATTCCTTCAAACAGGGACCTTCCATCGATTTTAACACATTGTCAAGGGAGCAGAAAAAGAACGAGCATCTGTTACATCTACTCCAGGATGATGAAACTGGAAAAGATCACTGACCCTACCTGCAAGGAGACAATCGTATGTGGCGTCAGCACAGGCAAGCTACGCTCATATGTGCAGAGACGTATTCAGTGCGGCACATGGCCTATCACACCCTGGAGTCAATGCATCTGTGCGTTCATTACCAGACAGATTTGTGTGGCTGCCAATTAAGGCAGATGTGAAATCATGGGCGAAGATTTGCGTGACATGCCAGAAAGCAAAGATTGGTCGCCATAATTATATGCCTATAGGCACGTTTTCTGAGACAGATGAAAGATTTAAACACATACATGTTGACATTACTGAATCATATCTATCTCTACAGATTCATACTATTTCCCAAGAGTATTTGCGCGTAAGTGAATATAACGAACCAAACTGGAATTGGAGCACGGGTCTCCGATTACAATTGTGAGCCATTACCCATAACACCAGCTGCACAGCAAAGCTTACAGCACCTGGTATTCCCAAGCGTTCACGCTTATAGGTACTGGTCAGGCTCGACGTTGCTTAACGTCAGTGATCTTACAGGAACCGGTATTTCAACGTGATATGGCCGTAAGCCATGTTAAGAGGATGTGCTACGTGAAGATTACACACATAAAGAGGAACCATAAAATATAGACGTTGAAATGTACACATGGAAGTAAAAAAGATTAACTTCAAAAGACAAACTACTGTCGACAATATTATCTAAAACTAAATAATATACTCCGAGAAAATCATTTCAATTTTGTTTATCTTCATTGGAATTAATATCACGCTTATCCCAGCTTTTAACTACTCACTACGTACAGCTAATGAACGAGAAATGATATTTAGAATAGGAAAGGGTTTTTTTATGTTCCTTTCAGGAATAATAATTAATAATTATTAATTATTATTAATAATAATGACAATGCTTCATCCAATAAATTTAGACAACTTAAGACTATCACATATACTACCACTAGGTGTTAACAAGCAAGTAAATACGATGAAAGACATACGAGTTAAAAATTAATAATAATGACAATGCTTCATCTAAGAAATTCAAACAACTTAAGACCATTACATCGACTACTACTACTACAACTACTACTACTACTAGGTGTTAACAAGCAACAAAATAAGATGAAAGAAATACGAGTCAAAAATTAATAATAAGGACAATGCTTCATCTAAGAAATTTAGACAACTTAAGACTATTACATCTACTACTACTAGGTGTAAAGAAGCAACAAAATAAGATGAAAGAAATACGGGTTAAAAATTAATAATAATGACAATGCGCCATCTAAAAAATTCAGACAACTTATTACATTTAAGCATTATTACTATTTACTTATTACGAGGTGTAAACAAGCCAAAATATATATTGAAGTTTGAAAGTAATACTATTCAAAATTTAATAACAATGACAATGCTTCATCTAAGAAATTCCGAAAAATTAATAATATTCTGTATTTAGGAAAAGCAATCCTCGTTAAGTTGACGTAAATAAAAAGATAAAGAATTTAAGGTCTATGTTGAAACTTGACTAATGCATGGAATAATAATACAACACAAAATGTACTTAGAACAAAATGTATTGAAACAAGAAAGTGTACACAATATTTACATATAGTATTTTGTATATTCCTGGGAAGACCGTTCCTGGAGAATGTGTTGACTTCGTCGCAGTCGTGCAGAGTCTCTGGATTAAATCTCTTGGTTCCTCCCCTCGTCTTCCCGGTACCAACCATATTTATATGGTCGGTACTCCACTATGCAAATTAGGTGGATCCTACCACAACACCCCACTCCCAAGCCTTGGAATCCCTTTTGGATTTCAAATTGGCTTCCTATATGGGTTGATGATTATGGCTATTTCTTTGTAGATCCATTTGCATACTTCATATGCATATGTCCATCCGCCTAATTTTAATATTTTTTCCGTTTTGGATTCACGTCCAATGGGTCCGTGAACTTCCGTTTCCTACCGGATCTTCTTGGTTTAGGAGCATTTTGTGGAGGTTCTAACTGAAACATATCATACATTATATCAATGGGATCTTCCTCCTCATCCGGTATACTCTCTTCATGCTCTATAACGTAACATTTTTAAGTTGGTTCTGGTGCCTTTTATGAGTATTCTTCGGCCCTTTAATTATGTAAACCAGGTCACCGAGACTCTTGTCCACGATACCTCGCTCCCAGAACTCAACGTTGTTTTTGTAGCACATGAAAAACACCTTCTCTCCGGGGGTGTATCTTTTTCTCGCTGTATACGTAGTATTCTTTACTCTATTTTTTCCTGGCAAAAGCTTGTCAAACACTGACTTAACTTTCCTAGCGAACATTAGTTCAGCTGGTGCCATGTTTGAGTGTGTTCTCTGGTTTGGCGTGATTCTGTATACTTGTAAGAATTGCTGAAGCGCCTTTTCCGTTGGAACTCCTGAGGCTTTCTTCAGAGCGCGCTTTAAAGTAACGACAAATCTTTCTGCGAGTCCATTGGACCTCGGATGATACGGCGGCGTCGTTATGTGGTAAATTTGATATAACTCACAAAATTCCTTAAATTCTTCAGAAATGAATTGTGTACCATTGTCACTCACAATACACTCTGGCACACCGAACCGTGAAAATAGTTCATGCAAAAAAGTTGTTGTGGTATTGGACGTAGGCTTTTTACAGCGTAGTACTTCCGGCCATTTTGTAAAAATTATCTACCACTATTAAGTAGTAAAAATCTTCTACTGGACCAGCGAAATCAATGTGTAATCTTGTCCACGGATGATCCGTCTTGGGCCATGGTTTGTGTACTATAGGTAACGCACACCCTTTACATCGATGAACCATGTTTGCGATATCCACATCCATTCCTTTCCAATACACAAAGCTTCGCATTAAGCTTTTTGTTCTATTAACCCCCGGGTGACCCATATGAAAGTCCCGAAGTATTCTTTTCTGCAACTTTTTTGGTACTACTACTCTCTCACCATATAATAAAACTCCGTCACCGATTGAATAAATCTCCTGCACTTTTTTGGTCATTTGCTACCATTTTGCTTTTTATTTCTAAAATGAAATCATCGCTTACAGCTTCTTTTTTAATTTCCTTTAGTGTAACCGGTAGCTCTCTTACAATGTTGTTTACCATGCTTTTCACCTCATAATCTGCTCTGATATTTGCAATAATTGATTCTTCGAATCTTTCTTCTTGACTCGGTACGAGTCTTGATAAACTATCCGCATGAATTATATTTTTGGATGATAAGTACTTTATGTGAAAATCATAATTAAGAAGAATGGTTCCCCATCTCAACAGACGATTTGCTGTATAAACGGGTAACCCTTTCTTTGAACCAAAAATAGTGATCAGTGGTTTATGATCCGTTTCAAGCATAAAATGTCTGCCGTGGATGTATCTGTGAAATTTTGTTATGGCAAAAATGATACTCAACGCCTCTTTTTCGATTTGTGAGTAACTTCTTTCTCCTGGAAGTAAAGTTCTCGAAGCATGTGCAATGGGTTTTCTAGAACCATCTGGCATTATTTGTTGAATACACGCTCCTATCCCGTATGAACTAGCGTCACTTGCCACTACAATATCCAGTTTTGGATTGTAATGGGTTAAAAAGAGGTCGGACGTAAGTATTTTCTTTATTTCATCAAAGTCTTTCTGACATTCTACCGTCCATTCCCATGCCTTGTCTTTTTTTAGCAGTTCATTCAACGGAGCTCTTAAATTGTACATTCCTTTAATGAACGCTTGATAATAATTTGCAAGCCCCAGAAAACTCTGTAGCATCGCCACATTAGTGGGCGTCGGCATGTCTCTAATCGCAATGGACCTTTCCGTATCTGGACATCTGCCCTTTTTGTTGATTATGTGACCTAAATACTTAATTTCCTCCAAACCAAATTCGCACTTTGACTCTTTGACTTTAAATCCAAAGTCCTGAATCTTTTTAAATACTTGCTTGAGATGCTCTCGATGTTCGTCGACGGTTTCGCTCCTTACTATGATGTCGTCTAAGTAAGAGCACGCAAAGTCTAAATCATTCAACATGACGTCCATAGCTTGTTGAAAAATGGCTGGTGCCACTTTAATACCAAAAGGAAGCCTGTTGTACTTGAATAACCCTCTATGCGTGTGTATCCCTAGTAACTTCGAACATTCCTCTTCGACGGGAATTTGGAGATAGGCATCTGATAAGTCGATTTTTGAAAATATAACTCCACCATTTAGCTTGTTAAAAATCTCCTCCGGACTCGGTAACGGGTAATGGTAGTTCTGAATTACCGAGTTTAACTCTGTCGAAAAATCAACGCAGACTCTGACTTGGTTTGATTTCTTTTTTATACACACAATCGGCGCAGCCCATGAATTAGATTCTACTTTCGAAATAATTCCCATTTTTTCCAACCTACCAAGTTCTTCGTTAATTTTCTCTACACTTGCGAAAGGCACGTTACGTTTCTTTTTAAAAATTGGCATAGTATTTTCCTTTAATTCAAATTTGGCTTCAAACTTGTTACATCTTCCATGACCAGGTGTGAAGGTTTCCGGAAACTTTTTCTTTAATTCCTCTTTAATGTCCCGTCTTGTTTGCGTATTACTTTCTACTTTTCTGCAGAATGAGTTTAACGGTTTATCCCACAATTCGAATGTTTCAATAAAATCTGTACCCATCAAGTTTTCTCCATTTTTCAGAATGAAAACTTTTATTTTTTTAACTATCCCGTTCAATTTCATGGGAAGTACAACCTCGCCTGCGAATTTAATTTCCTTTCCAGTTACTGTTCGAGCGCGTTTCGTTGACTTCATTACTGTAGGCCTTTTTAAAATTTTCCATGTTTTGTCGTTCATTATTGTTAAATCTGAACCCGAATCGAGTTGAAATTTGATATTCTTTTTAAATATTTCAGTCGTCACATACTTCCTCAAATCTCTATCTGATTTGATATTTGAATTTGTTTGTCTAATTAGGCTATTGACTTTTTTCGTTTTACAACACGACCCTTTGTGACCATTCTTGTGGCACACGAAACATTTTTTATTACTATAAGGGCAATTTACCTCCCAGTGTCTTTCGTTGCACCGTCTACAATTATATGGTGGAACCTTTTTTTTTCTCCTCGTTCTTTTCATTTAATTTTTCTTGTCTATTTTTAAAATACGCCGAATTTTTACTCCAATTTTTTTCTGATGGGTAATTTGACTGTTTTTTAAAATTTTTTTAATATAAGCAATGCCAGCTTCTTCGATTTTTTGAGACTTTCTTTAAACTTACGGCTCGCTGACACTCCTCTGCTAACTTTTGCAGGGTAAAGTTTTGTTCAGATTCGAGTTTAGACAAAACTCTACGTTTTATTTCGGCACTCTTACTGGATACCTGTCCTTGAGCAAAAATTAAACACTTGAGTTCTTGAACCGTAATCTCTGCCAATCTGAAATTGTCACAATGTATATTCACTATAGATGCATATGTTAAGTAATCCTGATCGTCGGATTTAGCGACATTCATGCATAACCATCGCTTATTTGGAGCAAATATGTCGCTTTCGCAAGCGACATATTTGCTCCAAACAACTTCT